ACACTAGCCTCAAACTCACAGTGATCCTCCTGCCTCAACCTTCTGAGTGCTGGGATTACAGGCACACCCACCATGCCCGGCTGGTGGATCCTTTTTGAGTGACATGACAGGTGGTTTGTCACACACACACACACACACACACACACACACACACACCCTGTTCAGTGTGTTTCTTGATGCATATTAGGGGAAGCGAAGCAAGAATTCAAAATGGGCAGGATGTCCCCAGGTAGGCGCAGGTGCTAGTCAGCTGCCTTTCTGTTCTCTGATGGTGTGAATCTTCCAGAGACTGGTGGCAGCTCCCCGACACACACACTCCAGAGTGCTCCTGCTCCTCACAGCCTTATCCTCCTGCATCTCAGGCTGGACAGTATTTGACTAGTGTGGGATTCACCTTCTTGAAGTTATAGGGGAATGGGTGCCAGGAGCACCCCCAGTTGTGTGACTGGAAATATTTCCCAGTATTGCTGCACATCCTTTGGAGAGATCTGCCTCCTAGATAGAGGACACTGTCAGAGGTTGCCTGGCCTCCTTTGTGAGCTCTCAACCACACAGCCTGCTGTGCGACAGTCTACAAGTGCTCAGCCAAGTGGGCACTGATGCCAGGTGACTCTCTCGGCAGCAACTGAAGCAGCAGCGGGACAAGCTGAGGCAGTACCAGAAGAGGGTCACGCAGCAGCTGGAGCGTGAGCGGGCACTGGCGAGGCAGCTGCTGCGGGACGGCAGAAAGGAGTGAGTAGGGCCTGGAAGTGGGCACATCCTTGTGGGCTGCAGCGGGTGGGCAGGTCCATCAGGGGCCACTGCCCTAACCGTGGCTTCCTCTGCAGACGGGCCAAGCTGCTGCTTAAGAAGAAGCGGTACCGGGAGCAGCTCCTGGACCGGACAGAGAACCAGATCAGCAGCCTGGAGGCCATGGTGAGTGTGTTGGGGGGTGACCTTGAGGCCTTAACGGACTGGACAGGTTGGCTTTTCCCGGGTAAAGTCGGGCCACCCCTGGGTGGTGTGAGTGGGTCGGGTGAAGGGGTTGGTGCGAGCATCTCTGGTGTTGTGGCCTGAACAGCATAGCTCTGCTCTTGCTCACTCAAGCTACTGATGGTCTCTGGTGCCTTCTCCACTCTCTGAAACAAAGAGTAATAGGAGAAGACAGGGAGGGGGCACAGAAGCCATCCTAACCCCTAGCAGACGCTGGCCTTCAGTGGTGTTCCCTGAGCCCTGACCAAGTCAGGAGGGCTTCTGAGCACTGGGTTGGTCCTTTGCAGGTTCAGAGCATTGAGTTCACCCAGATTGAGATGAAGGTGATGGAGGGGCTGCAGGTGGGGAACGAGTGTCTGAACAAGATGCATCAGGTAGGTCCTCATCGGGCCTGGTGGGGTGAGACTGGGCTTCCTGTTCAGTGTCTGAGGCTACCTCTGTGCCCAGCCATTGACCTAGAGGAGTCTGTGGCAGACCCAGCCATGAGTCCTGCTGGGCAGGGAGATACACAGTGGTTGACAGGTGATTCAGGGCCACAGGAACCTGAGAGCAGCATGTCACAGTGATGGGCTTGATCTACAGGTGCTGAGTGACAGGAAGGGCAGTAGGTTGGGGACCCGTGTGGGAAACTGACCTCCAAGGCTGGTCTCGGAAAGCAGAGTGGACATGATCCTAAGAAGAGGCTCAGTGCAGGACAGCCCCCATCGTGCTCCTGACAAGCAGGCCTGACAACAGGCTGGTCCGAGAGCAGCAGGCTTGGCCAGAGGTCATGTTCGTCCCATCTCTGAATCTCTCATCAGCTGTAGGTGGCATGGGCACCAGCCTAGCAAAGGTGCTACTTTGAACCTGCCACTCAAAAGAAATCAAGTCACTTGCCCAGAGAACAATTTCCACTTTTGACTTATTTTTCCCATAATTGTCAAGGTTGGCACAGACTGGGGAACAGCCTGGTGGTGCAATCTAGGCCTCTGAAGCCAGGTCTGAGGGCCCCGTGGCATAGTGCCAGGATGGCAGGACTGTCACTGAGAGCTTCAAAATCTCACCCTCTCTAGGTGATGTCCATTGAGGAGGTGGAGAGGATCCTGGACGAGACACAGGAGGCTGTGGAATACCAGAGGGTAGGTGCTGCCAGGCCGGCCCCCTACCAGCTGGCCAGTGCCATCACCAGCTTGGTGACCCTATGACCAGATGCCCTCCAGGGCCAGACCACTCCACTCCACAGTAGCACTGCTCTCGGGGGTGCACCTAGAACCTCAAGCTGTCTCCTTCATGAGGGGCAGCCTTTCCCTGGGCCCAGCCTGGCACATGTTCACTGCTGCTCTTCCTTCTGCAGCAAATAGATGAGCTGTTGGCTGGAAGCTTCACGCAGGAAGATGAGGATGCCATCCTAGAGGAGCTGAATGCAATCACTCAGGTACCAGGACCCCCGGGCCCCTATTCAGTCCTCTGTGGTATGTGCCACTGATTTATTTGAGCACTTGGCACTGGTTTTGCCCCCGCTGTCCTTCCTAAAGTGGTTTGCATTTACACTAGACCAAGGCATTTTGGGTAGAAATGATTTGGGGGCTGATACCAGGGCCTGTTTCAGCAGCTGCATAGAGCGGAGGCACTTTGTTTTTCTGGTATAACTTTTAGTCAGCAGGTTTTGTTTCCTTTCGGTGTCCCTGATTCTTCTGTGCACGTTGGGCCCTGGGGCTCTGATGGTACATCCTGCCTGCACCCTCACACCCAGGCCCCAAGCTCTGTGATGCCCCCGCAGCACAGGGGTTCCCCATCCATGGACCCTACCTCTGATTGCCAAGGCTGTCCTGGGAAGCCTGATTGGGAAGTTGCCTTTGCCATCCGTGACCTCCTGCTGCTGGAACCTGAGAGCCTGGTGCCCTGCCAGGGCAGGTGGGCCTATAGGTAGACAGCCACAGGTTGACGGGCTACCTGCCAGTCACTGGGATAGCTCTTCACAGACTCACCAGGGTTGGCACCCTCAGAACTCCTGGTGACTGCAATGACTTCCTGGACCTGTGGGCAGCAGTGCCACCAGGGTGCCTGTTTAAAACTTATGACCCTGGCATGGCCCCAACCTTTTGAAGCAGGGTCTCTGGGGACACCCCAAGAGTTGGCCATCATGACCCCCTTAGGATCTCACTGGAGATCCAGGGCAATTGGAGTCTCCAAAAATAGCTGGTGCAGGTCTTTTGAGTGGGAGGGTTTTTGTTCCATTCCTCTGTCCGTCCACCAAGAGCAGTTAGGTATGCAGGACTGACCCCTCGTGGCCCTCTCAGAATAGGACCCAAGCAGGCCGGGGGTGACCTGCCAACCATCTGTCTCATGGCCTTGCATTTGCTCTTCACAGGAACAAATAGAGCTCCCAGAGGTTCCTTCAGAGCCCCTTCCTGAGATGCATCCAGGTACCTCCCACTTTCTCCTTTCACCAGAGTTGGGATCCTTAGAATGGCGAGTCCCAGGAGGGAGCACTGTGAGGCGCCTTCCCCAGCGGGGGTTGGGCGAGCAGGGCATCTCAGGGCTGGCCCTGTGGAGTGTGGCCCCATGGCAGGTCCTGGTTTCCCAGGAGTAGGGCAGCCTTACGCCCCTTTGCAGAGGCACATCGAACATTAGAACTGGTCAGAGGCTTGTGAGCACGAACACTTTTCCAGGGTCAGCCCACATCAGTTATTGGACATATGCAGCAACCAGTTTTTGCCACTGGTTCTTAGGAAGGTTCCTCAGGACCCTGACTCTTCTCAGCAGCTCGTGCATGTTTCCTTCGGTCCCCTGTGGCTCTGGGGAGCTCTGCCCCTCACAGGGGCTGCTGGACAGCTGCATTCCCCTGGCCTGCGTGTTAACGGGAGTAACAACTAAGTGAAAAAGAAGCCCAGGGACCCCAAGGCTGACCGGCACTTTCCCCTTCATGAGCCCAACTGACCACACCCTTTCTGGAGTGGCTTGCCCCCGATGTCCTCTGTGGCCTGACCTCCTCTGGAAGTCTGCTTTGGTCTTTGGATGTCACAAACCTGTCTTTTTCTCCACAGAAAAAGCCCCTGTCAAGGTCAAGACCAGGCAGGCAAACCTGGTGGCAGCCTTCTAACTCGGCCGCTTGCAGGACTTGAGGGACTCCCCAGTGACTGGCCCACAGAGAGTCGGTGTGGCGGCCAGCGTGGACTGCTGCAGGGCGGAGCTCCAGCTCACACGGGGCTCGTGCATCGAGACGACTCAGAAACAGCTCTTACTGTTCAGTCTGAACGTGCTGGCGTGGCTGTCTCACTCTCGTTTCTGGATTAAACGGCAACGTGCAAATAATCTTCAGCCCAGCCTGGCTCTTGGAGGCCATGGTTTCCACAGTGGCCGCGGCATGGACCTACTGCTCCTGGTGCTGTTCACTGCCGCCCTAGCCCCCAGTGGCATGTGGTCCCCCAAGGGGAAAGTGCCAGCCAGCCTTGGGGTTCCTGTGCTTCTTTTTCACTTAGTTGTTACTCCCATTAAGTGGTGATGGGCTTCAGTTAAAGGGTCCCTGCCATGCCTGGCATCAGTTTCCCTGTAGGTTAGAGCCAGAACTCTTGGGAACTAGCATTTGCTGACCCTCCCAGCACCTCTGCCAAGGCACCCAGACTCAAGCTTCTGCTGTTTGGAAGGTATTTTGGAGATGGGCCAGAGGCCACCCCTGCTGGGTCAGTAACCACAGGAGTCCTGACTGCACCCTGTCCCTGTGGGCCTGTGCACTGGGGCTTGACCCTGCTGAGAAAGGACATCTGAAGGAAGATCCAGCTCTAACAGGTGTGGCCCCATGGTGTGCCCCTGGGAGTGCCACACCTCCTGTCCACCAGCTCCTGCGCCGACAACAGCCAGGGCAGGAGGCACAGAGCCCGGAAGCGACTCCTCGCGCATGACATTTGTTTTATTGTCGGACAATCTCACTGGTGTCTTGCTGACCTGTGAGCAGCACGAGATCAGCAGCCCAGGAGAGCCCTAGGCACCTCCAGGGCAACCAGGAACAGGAGAGTCTCTTCCTTATCCCAGACAGGTCGACCTGTGTATTAAAGTTGGCCCTGCATGGCCTGTGGCCTTGTGGACTTGTGTGTCTGTGTTCTGAGGTGGCCCTGGCTGTGCAGGCAAGTGGGAGTGTGAGCCTAACCAACACCTCTGGGCACCAGCAAGGGCCAGATGTGCAGTGGAGGTCCAGTCTTTGGGCTGTGCTGTTGGTGGGCGGAAGGCAGGCCAGCTCATTGTGGCTGAGCCTGATGGTCGCCTCTGGGCAGTGCCTCCTTGCAGGCAGGTTGGTACTCTAGCCCCTCTCTAAGTCAGCTGGCTGCCTGTCATTGGTCAGTGGTTTTCAGTGGTGCCCGAAGTTGCAAGGTGTGGCCTGAGATCTGTGGTAACGAGGGAGGGCAGCTGGTTCAGGGTTATGATGCCCTGGTGGGAAGCCAGGAGCCCGGAGAGCAGCCCCACACCTGTACTGCAGCACCATGGGGAACTGGCCCTATGTTCCTGGGGCTCCTGGTTTCTTGGGAGAAGCTGGAACCTGAGTATCCAGGTGAGGGATACCTGCTGGAGGCACATTGAACACATAAATGGCCACCACCCAGACAAGACTCGGTGCTGCCTTGAGTTCGCTTCTCTTGCCTGCGTCTGCCAGGAGGGGGCTCCGCCCATCAGCCTGGGAGATTTTGCAGAAAATGCTTGGGTTCCACCCCCTGGATTCTGCGTGCAGGAGCCTGAGGTAGTCGGTGAGGCCTGGGCCAGGCCTGTTCGACTGTGGTCTATCCCTCGGCGGCAAGTCCCGCACACCATGTGGAGGGGGCAGAGGGCCAAGGCCAGCAGATGCGGGCACAGCTGGATAGGCCCTGGAAGATTTCCAGGCATGGCCACAGCCTCACCAGATCCCTCTCCAGGGTGGACCCTCTTCCTGTCTGCCTCCTGCAGGAGTCTGGCAGGCACCCGCTAGAGAGGCTGGCTGCTGGCGGCATTTGGCGGTGTGGGCTTCCCTGTGCCCTAACAAGTTGTCCATGGGGCCTTGGCCTGAGGCACATGGGTACAGCCTGTGAGCAGCAAGAAGAAGACAGGAGAACCACATCTCTCACCAGACCGGCCTTGAGCTTGTTCCCTGGCTCTGCTCAGCATGCCTGGCTTGCAGCTTCTTGTTCAGTGGCAGGGCCCATGGCAGCTCCTGCCAGCCAGGAGGAACCCAGTGCCAGCTACAGCCTGGCCTGACTTCCTTCCGGTATAGTTGGGAATAGGGTCCCCGTGACCATCACAAGTCGAAGTGCGCAGACTGGCAGAGCTGGTATCCTGCCAGAGGCTCCCTGCAGTGTGGGAGACTTGGAGAGGAGTACACGGGGGGCACAGGTGGTGGGCCTGGCAGCGGCACCTGTGCCGGGAGGGTGCAGAGGGCAGGAGAAACCCTAGGAGCCAGGGGAGAGGCAGCAGCTTTAAGGGTGCTGGGGAACCCCTGGCTGTGGGGGCTCGCTCAGAAGCCCATTGCAGCCCTGGCTCACGTGGCGACAGAAGTGACCTAGGTTTCCAGGGATCCCGTGAGCATCATGGACTGAGAGCAGAAGGGGAGGACAGGGTGACACAGTGCTCAGGGATGGCTCAGGATGTCCCACTGGGATGAGGCGCCTGCCCCATGTGTGTCCAGTGCCTGGCCGGCTCATGCACAGAGCAGGTCCTCGGTGAAGGGACAGATGGTGATCCAGATCTTGGTCCTGTGTGAGGTGGTGGGGTGGGGTCTGGAGCACGCAGCCCTATAGACTTGCTTCCCATCAGTTGGTTGCCCAAGCTGTGGCTCGTATGTGTCTGGAAAACATGGCCTCCCTGCGGCCCCTGGAACTCGGTTCTGCCCTGCTGGAACAGACAGAGCCTGGGCCGCTCACAGTGAGCAGGAACATACGGGTTCCCGCTGGCTCTGGAGGCCCAGAGCCCAAGCCCACAGTGCTGTCGTCATGTCTGGCCTTCTTTTGTCAACGAATGGGGGAAGGAGAAAGCAAGGGGGCCCAAGTGGCCCTTTCATAAGGACGTCTCTCCTGCTTTGAGAGTCAGTCCCTCTTGGCCTAATAAGTTCTCAAAGTCTCATCTTTGGCTCAGCCTGTTGGCGCTCGCTTGTAATCTCAGCACTCTAGAGGCTGAGGCAGGAAGATCACAAGTTCAAGGCATCCTGAGTAACTTCATGAGGCTGTGCCTCACAATGAAGGGCTGAGGGCTTAGCTCAGTGGGGGGCCGTTCAGTCCCCAGTGCTGGGGGGCGTGGAAGTCCCAACCTTTAAATGCTGTTATGACGGCAGTTAAATTGTCAGCCTGAGTTCTGCAGAGAACAACATTCAGACCAAAGGAGAAGAAAGAGAACAGTGGCCACACGGAATGGGGTGACATTCTGATGAAAAAGTCCAAGTAGCACCCACTTCACACCACCCTATAGGAAACTGCAGCCCCAGCCGAACAGTGTGTGTGATTCAGGTGGTGCCAGCAAAGGCTGGAGCAACAGTGTCAATGCCTTACTTCCTGTTTGTCTGTTTTCATCACTGAGGATTGAACCTAGGGACCTGTGCGTACTAGGCAAATCTCTACCACGGTAGCTTGGCCCTTTGGGCTTTTTTATTTTGAGACAGGGTCTCACTAAGTTGCCCTGAGTGGCTTCCAACTTGTGATCTTCCTGCCTCAGCCTCCCAAGTAGCCAGGATTACAGGTGTGCGCCACTGCACCTGCTGATAGCTTAATATTGCTTGTTCCTGTTTTTATGGCACTGGAGATTAAACCCAGGCCTCACGCTGAGCTCCACCCTAGCCCCTTTGTTTTAAATAGTCACACAGGGGGCTGGGGATTTAGCTCTCAGCAGCAAAAGCGCCTGCCTGGCAAGCGCAAGGTCGTGAGTTCGGTTCCCGGTACCGGAGAAAAAAACAAACAAACAAATAAATAAATAGTCACACAGGAAAATGGTTTTTTACTTTCCTATACAATTCAACGGTTTCACACACGGAGAGCCTGACAGCCCCACAGCGGTGAGGACACAGCCCACGCAGGTGAGTAGGGGTGGGGATAGGAGTTTGCCAAGCCATCGGGAACCTCAGCCCACAAAGACCCCTCTGGAAGGAGATGGGCAAACCCAGGGGCGCCCCTCAAAGGAGGGATGCGGCTCACAGTGTTGTCAGCTGCCAGCCCCTCCACCTGCTTGTGTGGGGCTGAGGTTCAGTCCACTATGCATCAGGGACATGACAGGGTCCCTGCTGTCGGCCACGTCCACAGAGTGCCAGGTGGGGCAGGAAGGGGCTGCGGTCCCAGGGCTGCTGGACCTCTCCCCAGTAGTGTCTGTTCCCCAGCTCTCCTGAGGGACCCATGACAGCCCTGAGCTGCCCATGATGTCTGCCCACCTCCAACATGACCTCAGCAGAGAACCAAGTGTCACCCAGGCTCCTGTCCTAACTGTCACCCTAGGAGTCCCAGGGTCATCCAGGCTCTGAGACACCACAGCAGTACGCTCAGGGACAAGAAGAAACCAGAGACACCACCAGGGGCTGGACTGCAGGGGCACAGGGGCCCTGCCCGTCCTGAAGTGTGGTTGCCGTGAGGTGGGTCCACAGGAGAGTGCAGTGCATGGCTTTGAGCACATTCACAGACATGAGCAGCACTTTCAGAATACTTCTGTGACCTCAACCCTAGATTCTTTAGCTGTCACCTCCCCCACCCACATTCCCTGTTGGGTCCCCTTCCCAGCCTTAAGCGTCCACTGCTTTGGACCTTCATCTGAGTGGAATCATACGATCTGTGACTTCTTAGCACGTTTGTACCATGCATCCCTACTTTCTGCTGCCACAGAGTATTTCGTCTACTGATAGACAACCTTTTGTTTATCCATTCGTGAATTTGAGGGGTAGATTGTTTCCATTTTTCCATTATTACCGGTATGAATAGCGCTGATATAAGCATTTGCATACATGTATCTGGGTGAACATAGGTTTTCCTTTCGCTTGGGCTCATACCTAGGAGTGGAATCGCTGGGGCTTATTGCATCTGTGTTTATTGGACTGTTCACCATGGTAACAGCTTCATTGCTCATTCTTCAGCAGTGAAGAGGGCTCTACTTTACCAACATTTAGTTCCTGTCTTTTGATTGTAGCCGTCCTTGTGGGTATATGTTATCACTGGGGTTTTGATATGTACTTCTCTGATGTCTACTAATGTTGGACATCTCCTGTGTTATGGCCATTTATGTATCTTCTTTTTTTTTTTTTTCTTGAGACAGGGTCACACTGTGCAGTTCAGGCTGGCCTTGAATTCACTTTGTAGGCTGGTCTTGAACTCACAACAATCCTCCTGCCTCAGCCTCCTAAGTGCTAAAGTTACAGGCACGCACCACCACGCCCAGTCATTCATGTAGCTTCTTAGCAATATGTCCACTCAAATTCTTTGCCCATTTTAATTTGGCTGGTTGTCTTTCTATTATAATGAGTTATAACAATCTATATATTCTAAATATTAGAACCTTACCAGATATATGATTTGTAAATATCTTCTTCCATTCTGTGGTTTATCTTTACTTTTTTTTTTAGTGGTACCTATGTAGGTCAAAAGTCTTAATTTTGATGCAGCCAAGTTTATTTTTGTTACTGTTTTTGCCCTTGGTGTTATATCTAAGGAATTCCTGCCTAATGCAAGGTCATAAAGATTTCCTTTTAAAATTTTTGTAGTTCTTACATGTAGTCTGTGAGCTAACCTGTATATGGTGTGAGCTTGGGTGAATCTGGCCTCATTCTTTTTTTTTTTGGTTTTTCTCCGGTACCAGGAACCGAACTCATGACCTTGCGCTTGCCAGGCGCGCGCTTTTGCCACTGAACTAAATCCCCAGCCCCCCTGGCCTCATTCTTTTACATGTAAACGTCCTGTTGTCCCACATCCATTTGTTAAAAACAATTCTTTCCCCATTAAATCATTTTCGCATCTTTGTCAAAAATCAGCTGACCATAAATGCCAGACTCTCAGTTCTCTCATTGGTCTTTTCGTCTATCCTCATATCCGCGTTATAGCTTTGTAGTTTGTTTTGAGGTCGGAAGTGTAAGTCCTCCAAGTTCTTCTTTTTCAAG